TAATAGTCTATTGTACGTCCTCCTTTGATATTCTACCAGTCGCCATACCCTACCGGTACTGGTTCGTGCTATCAGCCCCTTTCAGCCAACGAGGTCGGCCCTCGGTACCCGATATTTCCCCCATCTACCAGAGGCATTGGAAATTACTTGGGCGGGAAACTTGCCTAATTTTGCTCAGAGGTCTCCTAGAGACATGAGGATCTTTTACGTGTCGTATATCAAATTCGGACCTAAATGTGGCACACATGAGCTGAAACACGTCTGCCTAGACCGCAACTCCATCTGCTGAAAATACGTATAGCGTAGTGTTGACCGGGATAGAAGTAGGGTAATTATTATCTACAGCGATTTACGCACACGATGCAACAAAATGGGTGCCTGAAGAAGTTATTACCGCTCGCAGCGGCCGCGCAGTCTAAGGCATGAACTGTCTTCGCTCGCCTGAACACTGGGTTCATGGGTTCGAATCCCACTCAAAAAATGGATGTTTGTGTGCGCGTTTATTCTGTGTTTGTGTTGTCCTGTGTGTAGGTAACGGCTTGCGTCGGGCTGATCAATCGTCCAAGGAGTCCTACCGCCTGTGTAAGAAGATTACAGAACTGAAGGAGATGCAAGGGCCCTACAAAGGGCTGTGGAGCCAGTCATGAGAATGTGCGGAAGGGTGACGAGGAAGGCTGAGAGAATATATTCTTGTTTCGGCACAACTGCAAAATGGCTAGGTCAAAGGAATCGAATCCGTCCCTAGTTTCGATAGCTACTAAAAACAAAGAAATAGTTAAGAATTTACTGTTTCCCTGTGGGCATCTAACTACGCCAGTATTCTTGGTCATGGAACTTTTCCGCCAATCGCCCGCTTTTTCTGATGGCCGGATGTGCAGTTTCGTTAGGAGAGTTCTTAACTTGATCTCTCACTGCGAAGAGAAGCTTTGGATCCAAAACCACAAAATTTGTTTCAGTAATATGAAGCAAGTAATGGTTATTTAAAAATGTGAACAAATATATGACAGGAATTTATTTTGAAGAAAATATTTACGTTAAATTTCAGGTTTTCACGGCGTTGACTGTGAGGAGGAGTTCTATCTTGTTGGACATAACTGCTGTCCCGGAGGAATAGTTTCCGTCTTCAGGTTCGAAATGTAAACCAAGCAAGAAAACAATGTGAAGCAGGCAGAAAGCTCTTCGAAACCGAAGCTGGAAACGATATATTCCCCGTAAACTTTGGTTGACTTCCACCGGACTACACGGCGTTATATTGCAGAAGACAGAAATCTTGCAAATATTTAGGGACTTACCTTGCAGAGCTCCTCAGATTCTGGCAGTAAATTTACAGTAGGTATTACATCTCAGCAACCACATCTATATATCATTTGCATTGTGTGCCAGGTTGAACCCAGTCGGAGGACGAGGCGGAGTGGAAAGCTTCCCTCTGCGCTACAGCAAACGCTTCCAGAGAGGCATGGGTTCCAATGTGGGCAGTTTCCGGGAGTCCATCAGGAAGGCGAACGCCATCAGGACTGAGGAGGAAAACAATACCGTGAAACAGGTGACTGGCGCTCATCCATTCGGTTCACGGATTCCTGGACTCCAAAACCATCTCCATCAACAAAAGACCCACCAGGTGCAAATACGATTCAGTGGCCGTGATTGGCACCTGCCGATGGTGCACTTTCAACTGTCCCAAATAAAATCTAAGAAAGGACTGGCACTCAACTAACACTGTTAGAATTTTCATCACTCTTTCCCCACAATAAGCACAGTATCTTTATTTTTAATTACACCTCGTGTGTATTTTCCATTTAGTTAGTTATTTAGGGATGTGCAGCCATCCTACTGTACAGTTTTCAGTTAGCAACATATGAGTCCTGTCAGTTCAATCTGTTGGACAATATATTTGTACTGTATGTATTATAGGATAGTAAAATATACAGCGTTCACATCATGAATTCTTTGGCGTTGCAGATTGTTCATTATTAATCTAAATGCTAAGCTCAGTAAGTGGAAATTTTGAGTTCCGAACGAAATAATAATGATCATGTAACACTTCTACATTTCTTGGAAACATGTTACTTCATCACGCGTCTATTACAATCTTCATGGCGCCACCTTTCAATTTGTTATGAATGTATCTAATCTGATTTTGTGGAGCTTTACCTGTTCTCTTATTTTGAGCCCCCTTGCTCCTTCCGCCGAGATATGCCCTCAACATATCTCAGATTACTAATATTCATATATCTATAAGCTAATGCTTGTTGTAAATTGGATTTGGTTATGTCAGTAATGCTTCTGTCCATATTTTATATATTTCTTTTAAATTTGTGTATCTTCTGCTGTAGAATCCCCCTGAATTGCAAATTCCACCGTTTAGCAACACAGTTCTCATATCCAAACGCAAAGGATTAGAAGTACCTAGAAATAGTGACCAAATATCTCATTTCTGGCTCAATTAGGAAATAGTCCTGTCAGGTATAAGTGGTAGCGTGACTAATAATTGTGGGTTCTGGATTTACTGGACGCCTCTATTACAATTACAGTTTATTATAACAGTTCACATATTGGTAGATTCTAAAGGGTTCTGACCATGGTGGATGACACACAGAATTACTGGGGTTTTGGACGTTTCCGATCGTCCGGAATTTTAGCTAATAGAGAACACGACGTTTCGGAAACTGGATCTGTTTCCGTCTTCAGGTGAGAAAGGAAGACTGGTCCAGTGATTGAGATTAGCTCTTTCCAAGGGGCCCAACTGAGTAGGTGTCTTCCTTTCTCACCTGAAGACGGAAAGAGATCCAGTCTCCGAAACGTCGTGTCCTCTATTATCTAAAATTCCGGACGATGGAAAAAGTCCAAAACCCCAGTAATTCTGCAGTTCGCATATTGCTTTCCTTCTGGGTAACAAATTTCTCACTGTATTTCTTCTTGTTCTTCAACTGGTCTCTAACCTCTAGTCTTCCCGAATTCTCTATATCTGGATCCTGTCTCTCGTCCTGAACTGGCTTCATGCCGACTGCAGAGAGAACACCTAGTAGAAGAGTTGATTCTTCTGTTGTCTTGAAAACGTTAGTTAAATAGTTGCTGCGGAAACGTGTTTCAACTAGCGGTTGTCTGACAATGGCCGTGTTTTCTGACTTCACTATTCCGGCTTTCAGGCGTCATATCTAACTTTCCTCTGTGGGGAACGTCTGAATAAAATAAAATTGATATTTACTTCGTGAGTTGATAATTTTTATTATTTTTTATTATTATTAGAGGGGGTGGGTTTCCCCATGCACTTAGAGCAGTTATTGGTCCATTGTGCGTCCCCCTTTAATTTCTACTGTTCCCATACCCTACCGGTACTGGTGCGTGCTATCAGCCCCGTTCAGCCAACGAGGTCGGCCGTC